CGTGACGGGAGGGAGGGCTCGGGCCTGCGAGCGTCGCGCCATGCTTGCGAGCACCAGCGTCACAACATGCCTGTGAGAACCGCGCCATGCCTGTGGGTACCCGGCCCCGCCCCCCCCGCGCACGCTCGGTACCGTTCCGCCCATGCTGCTTCGAGCGATCCCCACCGAAACCTTCGGCGTTTGATCCCGACGGAGCTCGCACCCATTGGAACAATGTACGCGTGGCCCAGTGGTGTCGGCCAGTGCGGTGGTCTGACCAGGTCGAAGATTGCCTTTCTCCTGAAATCTCATAGCCCCAGAGCCACCGACGAAAGAACCGAAACACGCCCTGGGGCGAACTAACCACCAAAACGCGTGGTGCGAGACTCCCAAACATGTCCAGAAATTGACAGTAGATGCAGTAGCAGCAGCAATAGCAGTAGCAGTAGCAGTAGCAGCAGTAGCAGTAGCAGTAGCAGTAGCAGTAGCAGTAGCAGCAGCAGCAGCAGCAGCAGTAGTCGTCGTCGTCGTCGTCGTCGTCGTCGTCGTCGTCGTCGTCGTCGTCGTCGTCGTCGTCGTCGTCGTCTCAGTACTAAGCGTGACATCGTGACGCCTGTCACGCGTGATACGTCGTGCAATCAGTCGTTGCCCCGCCTGTTTGGTCCAACGGTCAGCCTGACCTCGACGCGCAAGCCGTGGTTGATGGTATGACAGTGCGAAATGTTATGTCATTACTTTCCTCTTCAATTATTGCTTTTGTTCTTAGTGCTACTATATTTTGCTCTGCGGCACCATGTTATAACATGCTATGTTCTGTCAAGCTATACCATGGTCTGCGTTGTTCAGTAGTGTTAACGTGATGCTGAGTTCCTGACAGCATATGATGTCCTGCTCTGTTATGGCATACCTCTTTAAGCAAGGTATAATGGTCGGTGCTATGTCAAGCTCTTTGCCGTAGGTGTATCACCACTGAAAGAATAGTGCTATGGTATGCTGGCTACGTTGCGCTCTTTTCTCGACGCATTACATTATGTTATGCTCTGTTATCCTCTGCAACATGGTATTATCAACGATGTATGAATACATTCGTTGCCGTCGGAGTACCATTCCTAAATCAGTCCCGGTACAATATGCTATGATCTGTGATAATATACCCTGCTATGTTCCACTATGCCATGATACGCGTTGTAATTTGATGTTGGGGTCGATGATGCGTTCTGCCATGCTCTGTTATGTCAAGACATGGTCTGTTAGTATCTCTTATGTCCTGCTATGCTAGACTACTTTATGCCGAGATCCATCATGGTATGCTTTGTCATGTTATGGAATGCTGCGGTTATGGGTCATTGTATGATATGTGATGTCATTGTGTGACATGGTGTGCTCTGTTCTTCTACGCTATGTTATAGTGTGCTCTGCCCTTGTTTGTTGTGACGTATGGTGTTATGCTATGCTCTGCCATGGCGTGTTATGTTACGACGTGTTCTGTCATGCTATGGTATGGTATGATATGCTGCGATATCTTATGTTAGGTGGTGTGGTGGTATGCCCTGTTCTGTCAGAGCTCATAGTATAGTGCTGTACTATGTTCTGCCATTTTATACTACCGCTCTGTCATGTTATGATTTGTCGGCGCGAGGCGGGACTCTCGGGGACACTCGGGGGACCTGGGGAACTGGCGGCCGCGGTATGAAGAGTGGCGCGAGGCGGGACTCTCGGGGACACTCGGGGGACCTGGGGATCTGGCGGCCGCGGTATGCAGAGTGGCGCGAGGCGGGACTCTGGGGGACACTCGGGGGACGTGGGGATCTGGCAGCCGCGGTATGCAGAGTGGCGCGAGGCGGGATTCTTGGGGGACACTCGGGGGACCTGGGGATCTGGCGGCCGCGGTATGCAGGCTGAACGGGCCGGGAAGTCTGCGAGTAAAATCTAACAACCCCAACCTGCCAGGTGGGGAAAAAGAATCAACACGACATAAGCACATAATCAGCAGACATGTTCGTAGGTCCACGTGGATTTCTCGGATCGGCGCTAGGCCCCCCTCCCTGGCGCGCGGAGCGCACCGGGGGCGGCGCCGGAGGCGCCGCAAGGGAGGCCCAGCGCCAATCCAAGAAATCAGCGCAGAGCCAACGGTTGATGGTCATGCCGCTTGTTCTCAGAGCAGAGCAACTCAAGATCCCCCCCGGCCTGGTTTCCTGAGCTGCGTCCAACCGTGCGACGAGGGCCCCCCCCAATCCCCCTGAAAACCAACTACGGTCGCCTCAGGCATGTGATGCCCCGATGTTTTAAATACCGGGCCCCCAAGTCACGACGCTTTCTCCTCGTGGCCCAGAATGGGGTCCAGCTGAAAGGGGGCGGTGCAACAGATCTGGGGCAGTCGTATTGCGAGTAGTTGCGACGGAGAACTGCATTGCACTGTACTGCAACTAGTGCAGTGCACGCGGAAACCAAGCAATCCGTTTGCGCACTGGAATGTCTTGCACACCCCGCAATCGATTGCAACCCCACAAATCTGTTGCATCAGAGCTATTGCATCACCTCCTTATCGTTGAACCCCCATCTTGGGTCAACCAGACTTTCTCCCTTGTCGGCCTTTGATCCCGAGCTGTTTGGCACCCGTTTCGCCGGAGACTTCCCCAGACCTCCTCGCGTCGTGAAACAAATTACGGCGGGAGGTGTTTTCCCTCTTTTTTCGGCCACTGGGGGCCCTCGCCGGGCCTCAGGAGCGTCAACAAACCAACTCAGGACGAAAAACTGGTCACGGGGAAAGTCGGGTCGGGCGAAAGGGGGGGATAGCAAAGGGGGGGTTTGAGAATCAGCTCACGTAGCTGATTTTCCCGGCGCCTCCCGGCGCCGGAGGCGGCTATGTATCGAGGAATGGGCCCCTCGGTGAGGCCGAAACCAGCTGCATGCAGCAAATTTCGTAACCCCCCCTTTCCCAATCCCCCCCTTTCGCCCAGCCCGAGAAAGGGATCCAGATCTCTGTGGGCCGACGTCGTGGACAAAAAACACGACGTCGGGGGGCTCGGTCTTCGCAGTGGACTCCGGACTCCTGGTGAAACGCCCGACGATAGGAGTGCGGGCGACCGTTTTTTGCCCCGGGCGGCCACGGTCCCGGGCTAAAGACACTGGGGTCACGAGGAAAATCCTGGAGGCCTCGCGCGGTAGCTTGAGACCCGATTTACGTCGGATCCACGTCGGATGCACGTCGGGTTCACGTCGGGCGGCGTCGGAACTGCGTCGGGCTGACGCCGGAGCATCGCCGCGCGAGCGTCGGCCCGCAGCTTACGGAGCTGCTGTGCGGACTAGATGGATACAACTACGACGCGCTGCGCGAGGCCTCCAGGAGTCTCCTCATCTCTGAGGTGCAGAGGGCCGCGCTGTCACCGCAAGTCCCCTCTGGCCGACCCCCCCCTCCTCGGCCCGCCTCTTCGCCTCGTGCTGCTCCTGGGGTGCTCTTGCCGGCGCAGCTCGATCCGCGGCCCCAGGGGTACTACACCTCCTCTTCCCCTCCTCCTCCTCCTCCCCTCCTCCTCCACCTCCTCCTCCCTCCCCTCCTCCCCCTCCTCACTCCTCCTTCCATCTTCTCCTCCTCCTCCTCCTCCTCCTCCTCCTCCTTCCTCTTCTCCTCCTCCTCCTCCTCCTCCTCCTCTCGATCTCCGTCCGGGGTGTACTCTTGATGGTCGCGGGGCCCCAGAGGCCCGAGCCCGGGGAAAAAACACCGCCGACGTCGAACAACAGACGACATCGTGGGAGCTCCGAGGCCGGCGTGGGCGTTGGCGGAGAGGGCCGTGCGGGGACGGGCGAGGGGGCTGCCAAGGATCGGGGAGACGTAAGTCTCGGGTATAGGGGGACTCGGGCTGGCCTGACGGGGGCCATCATAAAAATGACGAGACCCCATCTGAAATTCGGCGCGGGCTCCCGCTGCAGACATCCCACGAGAGCGGGACCGTCAAAATCCAGGACGCGCTCGTCAAAATTAGCCTGACGAAAGACCCAACCATACGTAGTTGTGAATACCGCAATTGTGGATATATTCTTCGGTGGCGCCCCCGGGCCACGAAACGAGTGAGGGGTGTGCCGAAATGGGAGGGTGGAACCGCATGCGAGCGCAGCCACTGGGGCGCTCGGTGGAGCTCCCTATGGAGCCACGAAACGTGTGAGGGGTGTGCCAGAATGGAGGGTGGAACCGCATGCGGGCGCAGCCACTGGGGCCTTCGGTGGAGCTCCCTATGGGGCCACGAAACGTGCGAGGGGTTTGCCAGAATGATCCTCGAGAGGGATGCGGGCCACCACTGGGGCCTTCGGTGGAGGCTCCTATGTGGCCACGCCTATGTGGCCACAAACGTGTGCAGGGGTGTGCCAGAGAATGGGGGGGAAACCGCAAATGCGGCGCACCACTGGGACCTTTGGTGGAGCCCCCATGTGGGGCCACGAAACGTGCGAGGGTGTGCCAGAGAATGGGGGGGTGGAACCGCATGCGGGCGCAGCCACTGGGGCCTTCGGTGGAGCTCCCTATGGGGCCACGAAGCGTGTGAGGGGTGTGCCAGAATGGATCGTGGAACCCCATGCGGGCGCAGCCACTGGGGCCTTCGGTGGAGCTCCCTATGGGGCCACGAAACGTGTGAGGGGTGTGCCAGAATGGGGGGTGGAACCGCTTGCGGGCGCAGCCACTGGTGCCTTCGGTGGAGCTCCCTATGGGGCCACGAAACGTGTGAGGGGTGTGCCGAGAATGGGGGATCCCATGCGGGCGCAGCCACTGGGGCTTCGGCGGAGCTCCCTATGGGGCCACGAAACGTGTGAGGGGTGTGCCAGAAATGGTGGGTGGAACCGCATGCGGGCGCAGCCACTGGGGCCTTCGGTGGAGCTCCCTATGGGGCCACGAAGCGTGTGAGGGGTGTGCCAGAATGGGGGGTGGAACCGCATGCGGGCGCGGCCACTGGGGCCTTCGGTGGGGCTCCCTATGAGGCCACGAAACGTGTGTGGGGTGTGCCAGAATGGGGGGTGGAACCGCATGCGGG